AGTTGTTTAGCTTATCAGAGAATGATTTATAAGCGTATAAGATACACATGCAGTCGATATTGTAATAATAAACTTAATAACGACTCATGCATATTAATTAGCTCCGGGGAGAAGGTCGTGATTAGATTAATCTTAAGATTTCCACTGTTAAACTGATTGTACAGCAACTTAACATACATGATGAATCAATTATTAGAGACAGAAATATTCAAACTTTTCATATTCGGAAACTAGATAGCTATGGAAGTTTAAAATGTATTGACGTAAGTCAAATAAGAAGTCAGTGCATTTTTATAAATGTATCATATGCCAATTATGTGTGTGACATGCCACGACTGTTACGGAGACTAGTTAAGATAATGTCACTGTAATGTTTGTTCTGTTTTTTGCACTTGTTGAAGATTTTTTGATACTTGATTCAATGGCATTAATGCAATAACAATAAAAATTATATTTATGTCATTACATTTAATTGATAAACTTACGAAAAATATGATTAACGTATAATCTAAAATCTCTATTATGTATATAAACTAAATAAAATGTTCTCTTGCAGTTCTTGTTTATTCTTCCAGATATTTTCTCTCTATAATAAGTTACGCGTACGTAAACACAATAAAATGATAATAGTTGCTGATTCGATCTGTTCGATCGAATCGCGAGAGATGCCGTTCGTGCTCCGAAAGGTGCATTAAGTGAGGATTGGCGAGAGAGGATCGCTGCAGTGATCCTCTCCCTCCAATCTTCACTTACAATTAGTGCACCTTTCGGAGTCATCTGAGAGGATCATCTGAGATTAATAAAAAATGTAAAAAATTAGCAAAAAATTTGTATTTTAATTTGATATAAGAATTATAAACAATACAAATAGTTTACCAAATGAGCTCGCATTTTAATTTCTTCTTTATTTTGTCGTTTGCGACTGTATTTCGTACATCGATACTCTCGTTCAAGTACAAGTAGTGTTTATAATTATCCTATTTGAAAAAAATTTTTCACATTTACAATTACTTTATTTAATATAAAAAGCGAAATTTGACGACACTGGTGAGCTAATTATTATTTATTACTTAATTGTTTAACACTAGACAATTTATAAGTAATATTTCAAGCGACAGGAGTTATGATCACGTAAATTATTAGTAAGAAATATTGATAGTTACACTGTTTGAAGCATGTTGCAAAAACACTTTGTGAATCCTTTACTAAATAACATTTTACAAACACTTAAAAAACTATAACAAAAATGTTTGAGACTAAATCATTAAACGCCACTTAAACACTTCATACGAAAGGATTTAAAAACATTTACATTACATTGATTTCAGAGTGCATCAAAATAGTCTTATAACATCTCCCAAACGTTCTGTTCATAAGGAATTAATAAACTTCTCCACAACATGAAACTGTCTTTTGTAAATTTAGATTCAAACGTAACTCAAACACTGGTGTTTGACTTGCGTTTGAATCGGTATTTACAAGAGACAGTTTTATGTTGTGAAGAAGTTTATTAATTGTTTATGAACAGAACGTTTGAGAGATGTTATAAGACTATTTTGATGCACTCTGAAATCAATGTTATGTGACTGTTTTTAAATCCTTTCGTATGAAGTGTTTAAGTGGCGTTTAATAATTTAGTCTCAAACATTTTCGTTATAGTTTTCTAAGTGTTTTTAAAATGTTATTTAGCAAAGGATTCACAAAGTGTTTTTGTAACATGCTCCAAATAGTGTAACTATCAGTATAACTCTTCATAAACAGTATAAAACAGTATAAACATCGATAAAATTCTTTATAAACAAATGTAAACAATTTCTTATTAATCATTTTCGCCAGGGAAGCGCGGCTTCGGATCCTGCGTCCTCTCCGATTTAGGGAGGCGAGCGTATCCGCGCGCATTGCGTTTTCGATCCTATTA